GGGGGAATTTTCTACAACTAAAAAAAGTTTCTCAGATTTGCTCATTGAGTATGTCGTATTACTGTTATGGATTGGAAAACAAAACTGATTTTAGGCATATAATTGGGATGAAATAATTGCCATTGGTCAGGCAAATCTTAAACCTGTTGTTCCACCGTCACCAATGAGCGTTTTTTTGATCTGCCATACCAGCGGGACAACAGGTTGATCATAAATTTGCTGATATATATCACATATTTCTGAGGCATCAAATTAAATTTGTTTAACTCATTTGGATGTTATATTATCAGTTTATTAATGAGAAATGCTGAGGCTTGATGATTTATGTGATAAAAAATTGTAAGTTTTAGGGACTCCAAAAGGAGTACAACTCAGTCACCGAGCATTATTAGCATCGATGGCTGGACTATACACACAGTGGTGTATTCCGCCACATAATTTACAGTTCGGGCTCAACGATGTCTATTTATCATTTTTATCAATGGGCCATGTTTATGAACATCTTATGCAGGTACTGCTTATCCACAGCTTAATTATTTTTTTTTTTACAGATTTTTACTGTTTTTTATTTCAATGTTAAATTCACCAGTCGTCCATCATAGTTTTGCACTGTAAATCTCTTTATTTTGTATGCCAAACTCAAATCAGCGATTAGGATTGAATGTGGTCATTGATTGTTCATCAAACCCCCAACATCCTAAAAATTAAAATGCTGCTTAAAGAAATTCTTTTTATTTTACGGAAGAGAAAAAACACTTCTTGATTCTTCGTTATTGTTTTAGGCATTTATTATCTACATCGGAGGTCGTATCGGGATATTTGGAGGTGATGTTCGAAATCTGACTAATGATATGAGAATTTTAAAACCCACTATAATAGCTATGGTGCCAAGACTTTTAAATCGGTTCTATGAAAATATACATGCTGGTGTCAGGGAACAGAGTTTCTTAAAACGCTTCCTCTTTCAAACCGCTGTTAAGGTACCAAAAAACGAACAATTATTTACCACCAAAAAAAAAAAATTAAATAAATAAAGAATAAAATGAAAATAATGAAAATAAAAAGAAAGAAGTATAAAATAAATGGCATATATTTTAGGCTAAATTAAAACTGTTAGCAAAAGGCAACATTGTTTTCAATACAGTTTGGGATAAAATTGTTTTCAAAAAAATACAAAAATTTTTTGGTGGCAACTTAAAGATGATCGCTACCGGTGGTGCACCAATATCAAGTACAGTAATGAATTTTTCGAGGATAGCTTATGGATGTTTAGTTTTTGAAGGGTATGCAAATTTTTCTTATCAATTTAGTACTGATTCAACAATAGCCGCATAATTTCTTCAATAAAAAATCCTTCTGTTACAGTTATGGTCAAACAGAATGTTCGGCGGCAGGAACCATAACACTACCATTTGATACTACCGCTGGTCACGTTGGTGGACCTGCTGCTTGGGCGCAGGTAATTTTAAACATTTTCAAAGCAAATATAATGGCCAATATATTAAAGCTTTAAAAAAGCTTTTACTTTGAGATAAAATTGGTGGATGTAGATGATATGGACTACAAGGCTGCAGATGATGTTGGTGAAGTGTGTTTTAAGGGCGCCGCACTGATGAGTGGCTACTTCAATGCGCCCAAATTAACTGCAGACACAGTCGATGATCAGGTTGAAAGATCAACTTAATCGGCGAATAAAAAAAACCTGTAATCCAAAAAAAAAAATAATAATAATAATTATTATTATTTCGTAATCCAAAAACAAGAAAAAGTTTTCCATCTTCACTCTTACTTTTTTTTTTAACTTTTTGCTTTTTTTAAGAACGTGAATAGCTGAAAATGACAGTAAAAATTTAAACAAAGCCCAATTACTTGATAAGAGGCAAAATGTTTGTTCTTCAACTGACAGATTTCTTTTAAATTTAAACAGTCAAGGCTTTAAAGAGGAAGTTGTGAAAATTAGGTACTTTTGATTGGGCATAAATTCATGGCACAGTTGCTTTCTTTTAGAATGTCTGGGCTCTGAAAAGTCAACATCTTTAAATCCAAAAAATTTGGACTAAAGAAAAACCCTGCTGGCGCCATTTAAATTTAAAAAAAATTTTATGCTTCGAAGCTTTGTAGACGTTCAGACCCGATGAAGTTAAGAGCGAAATAAATGTAAGAAATACTTTTTAGGGGTGGCTTCATACAGGTGACATTGGGAAGTGGCTACCAAATGGATCGCTTAAAATTATTGACAGAAAAAACAACCTTTTTAAGCTTGCACAAAGTGATTTCATTTCCCCAGAACAAATCGAAAACGTTTATGTACAGCACCCTTTAGTCAAACAAGTTAGTTTCCTTTTTTTTTTTCGCAACATCTGTCATTCAGCCGTGTCACTGGCACATTTGCACACCCGAGGAATAAAAATATTCAGCAGCGCTCCATCTATTAATTTATCTTATCATGTTATTCATTGTCATTCATTAGAATTTTGTAACAATAGCTAAGGAAATGAATAATGACCTTCTTTCGTGAAAAATCCTGAAACCTTAAATTTGTTTCCAGAAGAAAAGCAGTCGCTATTATCTGGCAAAAAGAATTTAAACTCCACAAATTTGACCATAAACTTGATTCTAGATTTTGGTATACGGTACACCGCTAAAGTCTTATCTTGTAGCCATCACAGTAGTTGACGAAAAACTATTAAGAGAGGACTATGCAAGCAAGACAAGAGATCAACAGGTATCCGCAGGCTTACAATACGTATACTTCAATCTATTTGAATTCTTGCTTTACATTTTCCTTTTTAATTCTTCATTCAAAATGTTGCACAGTTAATGTATTGCTAAAAAACTACAGGCTAAATCAATGAATACCCTACCGACTTCAACGTTCCTATCGAATCATGCCGTTCGCCTTCATTTCATTAGAGAACTAAGAAATTTTGGGGCCGAAAAAAGCTTGACTAAAATCGAACAAATCAAAAATGTACACCTAATAAAGGATGAATTCACTCCAGAATCAGGCTTAGCAACTCCAACACTGAAAATGAAAAGAGCTTTACTGCATAAGCAATTTGCTGAAGTGCTGGATAGCTTATACAATGAAGAACCTTTATCTGAATAATGTAAACGTAAATTTGCTAAACTGCTCAACCTCTGTTATGGTGCAACAGCGTAAGGCTAAAAAATCACTCATTAGAAATCTACACTTTTTCTTTTTTATGTATCCTCATATTCTACTTGAACTCAATAAAAAAGCTGTAACTTGGTTGGCATAGGGAAAGCCTGTCGGTAAAATGTTTTTTCTACCAAATACTGATCAAAATGACGAAAACTGCCAAAAGAAATTCTAGATGGACGGGGTAATCAGATTGGCTGCAGACGACACCAAGAAATTTTTACTACGTTAAACTAGAGGGACTTAATAAAGCGATGCATTTCCTTTCAAACTCAAAATTTTCAAACATCGATCAGTTCGCTTTAAAAAACGGTGACTTTATTTTTTGCCGTGGTTCACTAAATTCAGTAGGACACAATATTGAATATTTGAATGTGAAGACCAGAAAGAGTTGCATAAGACTGTTTAGTTCAAAATTTTTTTCACTGATAACCTCCTTTATCAAAAAGTCCGAAAACAGACATTAAGGCTGTTAGGCGAAATGTGAATCTAGAAGTTTCTACATTAAAAGGCATCATGGTATAATGAGCTAATAAAAAAATTCAGAAAAAAACTGACACCTCAAGAGAAAACAACTATCCAATTACTAAAACTTATTACCTCATCAAAAGCTCAAACGACGTATTCCTAAACTCTGTCTCAAATACAGAACAAAATGAAATAAAAATACTTACACTAGTCGCTAAAGTTTAACATTCATACTTCAGCGACCCGATCTGGAAAAATTACTTCCAAAAAAAATTAGCTACCGACAACTACCTAAAAAAGTGAGTGAACCACTAGAGGGTTATCACCTTCTATATCAGTTCAGCGGAAAAGATAAAACATAACACAAAAAACTGCCGTCACAAAAACAATAACATAAAACCAAGAATAAACGAACAATATTGTGCGTGGAAATATAAAGCACTATATGTACACAACACTTTTTACTTAGTCCAAAAGCTTACTTTTAGGAAATATAGAACTACAATCAAAAAAAAGTAAGCAGAGAAAATGAAATAACTACAACTTATCAAAAACGGTCTATTAACACAGAATGACATCCTTACATCAGTCTGATGCACTCTTAACTAGATACGATGTCATCGGAAATTAAGAATTTATATCCAAAAATACAATTACAATTTCAAGATGAAGATCGCATGTTCTACGGTGGTCTAGTCATCATCCTGTTGAATTCATTAATTTGACGGGTATGATAATCTACACTTTCATCACTTTCCTCATCAGATGCATCACCCGATTCCCCACTACTTCTAAAAAGCTTTACACTAATGACAATAAAACTGTAGCATGTTACAAAACTCAAGTTTATTCTGGTTCAATATTTCAGTATCTTTACCCTGGAACTTATTTGAGCTTCAAATCTACAGTGTCAAATAAAACTTGAAAACTTTAAAACTAAATAGGCTTTTCTGAAAATACAGCGTCGAAAGCTCTTGCAAAAGAAAATTATCCAGCTAATATAACTCAGTAAGAAACTTTAAAATAGTTTTAAAAAGGAACTGTAGTGAAGAGCTACGATAGAGAAGCTTGTGGATGCTGTGACAGTGATTAAAATCTTTTTGTGGAACTTACCCGCCTGCAAGAACCACATTGAGCACCAAAGTTATGAAGAACGATAAAAAAAATATCGTCGCCACCTTGTCTGCTTTAGGGGAATCATAAAAAAAAGGAGTATCGCGGCTATAACAATTACTATATAGTACTAACTACAAGCAACTTCTCAAAAAATCAAGTAATAAAACTAAAGCAAAACCACAGAGACATTTTGCAGTAAAACTCCTTACTATACACTACGTAAACCTCACAAAGTTCTTTCATTATAGGCTCTTGTTTTCTCCGTCCTCTGTCTAAGATACTCTTCTCTTTGCCTCAACACTTCATTCCACGCCTGCCGCCGATACTCTTCTTCAGAAACTCCAAGCCCGCCGCTACCACTCTTCTTCCGAATATATTTATAAATCTAAAAAAAACAATGAAAAATGAGGGGAAAGTTGGAAATTGATTTCAGAAGATTTTAGTATATTTTAAAGCAAGTTTTGCCGCCAGTAGTTCAAGAAACGATGTTCATGAAGTTGATAAGTGCGGGAACAAAAGACAGCAAAGTAAAAAAAAAGCTTTGATAAAGAAAAATAACGAATTTATGAATTTGCAACTATTTCTCAAAGAGGAAGTGTTCTTTCCAAAACAACAAAAAGCTAATTTCATATATTAGAATGAAGTTCAATAAATGAGTTATATATATAACCCATTTACGTTCCACCCCCAGTGATTACTCACAAGAAAAGGAATGAAAAAAACATTACCCATAAAAACGAACTTTCTTAATATCCTCCTCCGAATAATTCCGCCAGTACCTCTCCCGATCTACCCAATCATAAGGACTTTGGTACTGATATTTTCTAGCATACGTGAACGGATCTCTGTATATTTTATCTCTCTCCGACCGTGATTTTGAGTCAGCATCCTCAGAACGCAGTTTTGCATCGTACTCCTTCCTCTTATCTGGATCTCGCAAAACATCGTAAGCATTTTTGGCACTGATGAATTTCTCAGTTAAAGCACTGTCATCCGGTTTTCCAGCAACATCAGGATGATACTAAAGATTGGAAATAAACGTTATATTACCCACCTTTTACCTGTTTAATCCTGTTATTCACTTCTCGTGTTAATTATCTTAATACAGACAATGTTTCGCAACCAAAGTATAAGTTCAAAATGAGGTAAAAACTACTATTTACGGCGAAATATAACTAATATGGTTTTAAAAAATTTACCACGTTATAAAAACCTCTAAAAATCATTTCCTGCTCTATCATTCAGACCTGATTTTCCCGCCCCATTTACCTTCACATTTTACCATCGAATACTTCGAGCAGTAATTTAGGTGCTCGAGTATATGAAGGTTACCCAAAAAGCATAACTTGATCCTATGAACATTTGAGCAGAAAAATCGCTAAGCAAAATTCTTTTCCTACAAAAATTCAAAGCATTTTCCTATGCACCCTCTAACAAAATGAGAATCTTCTAGAAACCCCAAGTAACTCTTCACCCAAATTGCCATATCGGCCTCAAAACATTAGAAAATCAATTTTAAACAGTGTTACGATGCAAAACCACAGTCGCTACAAAAGGACTCAGATAAAGCACAAGGGAAGATTCCTACGAGCATATAAAACTGAATTTTGGTTCAGCATTATCATACAAATTGATAAGTACTGAAAAAAAGCTATCTTCCCTGCTACTTGTAAATATAACTCATTTGCTTTAAACGAAGAGTTGTATACGAGTCAAAATAGCTTTCGATCTAACTTTGTTATGTCCGTTCAATAGAAGGTGGAACACTGTGATGTTGAAGATCTATAACCTACTTTGAATTTTTTTCTTTCAAAGTTTTTCACTTCTCTCTAGCCCTAACTGATTAACAGCACTTACAAGAATTCAAACTGCACAAAGGACAAAGCCCTGGTGCCTCTTGAAGGTTCCTTAACCTCTTCAATTCTAATTTCAATTCACCGTAAGCACTTTTCCTTTTGAATGTTAAAAACAGCATAAAAACTCCCGTGAAGCACACGCTTTGGCGAGCAAAAATTTGCTTTTGTTGGAAGCTTCAGATACCAAAAATACTGCTTCGAAAAAAATTTAGTCAATGTTGAAAAAGTAGAAACCTTTTGGAGCTTATAGATTTCTCAATAGATTAAATGAATAGTGGGACACTAGACTGATACAAGACGGCTCTATTCAATGCTGATACTTTTAAACAAATCCTTCACAAAAATACCAATGAAAACAATAGCCAAAAGAACCTTTTTGCATAACGAATAGAACGCCTCTTTTATTTCTGCTGGCGACGCATTCCTCCCCACTCCTAACGATTCATAGTGCGTTTTTGAGTTCATCCTTACTGTCCTCAACTGCAACCACTTTGTTCGCAATAAAAAACATCCTTTTGCAATGGCCATTTTTCATAAATCCAGCTCATTAGATAATTCCTTCCGTATATCCATTTATAATCTCAATAAAATTTCAGAAGTTAATGAAGTTACACTGGCAAAAAATTTATAGGAAGTTCACGAAACGATGTAAACATTTTCGTAGGCAAATGAGCACCACAGGTTTCAGTTCAGTAAAATCAATAAAGAGAATTTATCATATCACAAAAGCATTAAGCAAGCACCACAACTTTATAAATTAGTTATATGCCTACATTAAAATTGAATTTAAAATTTATATTACAAAAAATATCTTACTTTTCCAAAGAAACTAATTTTCATTCAGGCAGAGCAAAAAATTATATGACAGTAACTTGCCATCAGACAAAAAACTAACAACAGGCTATTTCGCACTGTTAATTTCTAAAAATAATTTCTGGGGACACCATATTAAACTGGGCAATAGACAGCCCAAGCACTGTCTACTAATTTAAGTTCCATTATCTCTGTTGTCATATGAAACGACGGGACTATTTGTGCTACGGTCTCGCACTAGATTGGCTCGTTTTCTCCTGAAATCATTTAGAAAAATAATAAGTCAGGCATGCATTAAGAAATTAATAGCAAGCTGATGTCCCACATTAGTTAAATGTAAGTAAGAGATGACTTTAAGAAAACTCACTTTACGAGCGTCACGTCAAAGACGACAAAAATCACAGCAAGACCAACGAGCAAAAAAAGAATTCTTTTTAATCTCTCTGACGCTTTTAAGTCTGCACTAAAATCTTTGAAATGAGGACCATACGGGTCTGTTCCAGAAAACTTGTCCGATGTATTAATAGAAGGTTTAATAAAGTGCTTCAGAGTTTCTGCTGTCTCATTCGGAACGTCCTTAAGCAAATTAATCGACCAGTCATTCGGTTAAAACAAGAAGTTACAAAAAAAATCCATCTTTTAAGAGTTGGTAACCAAGAGTAGAAAATATAAAGAATAGAAAATCAAATTTCGAAGATCAAAAAGTAAAAGACCTGGTAAGTATAATGAGGTTTTCCGCGTTCTAGCTGTTTATCATAGACACGTCTTTCTACAGGCTTTCTCAAAACATCGTACGCTTCTTTCAGTTTCATGAAATCTTCCGTAATCATCTTGTTTTGTTTTAGGCCTAAGAATTTCTTTCCATCGGGATGTAACTGAAGAGAGACTAAGTCATAGACCTGATGTAATCAGTAGAGGATCTTAATGAACCTGTGAACTTCTTTAGCCTACCGGCAATTGTTGGCGTATTTCGATTCCTTTTTATTACTCTGTTGCGAAAATGCTTGTGAAAACAACAAAAATGACCGATTTGGAAGAAAAGTTTCACCAAACGGCTTACTTCTTGACACTTGCGCAAAAAAGCACTTTTAATTTCCCCGGAAGTTGCTGTTTTTGGCACGCCTAACACCTCATAATAATCAGGTTCTCTGAAATATACGGAAGAGAAATAAACTAGAGACAGAGACTATAAAGATTAATGAACCGACAAAAATCAACTTCGACCACTCCTCTCCACTGAACACCTTTGAACTTGTACACCCATCTAAAAAAAACTTTGTAACAACCCTGAAACAAGCGAACAAAATTTTTAACTAGCCCTGCGAAGGAAACTAATTGCTTAGTCCTTTTAAAATCTGCCGGAAATGTCCCAGTTCACCTTGGTTCATACGACGAATAATTACTACTTCGCACAGCAAAACGTCCTCCTTTTGAAAGAATTCTGACGTTTCCGATCATCTGCGCATTAATAAAACAACCGACCGTAACATCAAGAGGAAACCCTTTACGTGAACTCTGCAAAAGAGCAAGATAAACCCTTCATTTAAACCCTTCAAGAGACGACTTCGAAATAAATGCTGGTCAACAATAAGTGCAGAAAGCATAAGCGCAAACGCTCAAGCCTTTTCGCCTGAATTATTTCTGAAGACAAAACGAAAACACCTAACAAATAATTTTATTAATAACAATATTTCAATAAATGATCTAATAACAGCATACACGGCAAATTTCATATAAATTAATTTATGTAAAAATAATCAAAAAATAACTAGCGACTCCTACAAATTATTAGTTTCGACCTAAAGATTTATAAAGACACAACTAGGACAATTAATCATCGTAATGAACGTTGTTTAATTTAGACAGGTTTCTGACAGTAATAAATATAAATTTTTTAAAAAGAAGAGAGATGAGTCATAGAAAAGTTCTCTGACGCAAGGAGAAATAAAAATAAAAAGTAAAAAACAAGGAACAAAGAAAAAGTAAAATCTTGAAGAATACTCCCTACAACCTCAAAACCTCGTATCAAAAAAGTTTACTACCAAAAGTACAACTACTATGAATCTCCACTTCGGCCTTTATTAAGAAGGAGACTTGATTTTGGAACTATCTTTTGCTTTTCTTCCTTTATAGAATGTTGGACTTTATATTCAGGGTCAAGTTCTATATCCATCTGACGCCGCATCCGGTCATCATGTATTGAAGTCTCAAGATACGGAATTGGTTTCTGCGCTTTCACCAACTTCTTTTCAATAAAATACCCTATGGTCCCAATGACAGCAGCAAAAGGAACTACTAAAGCCTTTGAAATTCTGGTACCTGTAAAAATTCATAAGCGAATACTAATCTGTAAAAACAGTCAAGAGAGATAAAACTGGTGGTCTCCAAAAAAAAAAAAAAAAGTTGGAGCTTTTAAATATCCCAGTCAACAGATAAAGTATATCGACTATCTTAATATTTAAACAAGAAACAACAGAAAAATTAAGGAAGGCAAATTTGATAACGATAAAATGAATGAATTAATACTCTCGCAGTCAAAGGGCCCCATACGTATCAAGTAAAAATTAGTCAGTTCCTCCACCTACCAATATGAGACCACCCGTAATCAAGTTAAAATACCAATATCAAGGAGGAACTTTATTCCTAAACAAAAATAACAGAAACATAATGACTTCCTAAGAGGAATAAAATGCCTTTACAGTTATATCTTAGCGCCAATAATCTTATCCCTATTTCTACAACCATATCAGAGTAGATTTCCTTATAAAATTATGATATTGAAGGTTTACCAAAAATAATAATTGGTGACATTGCTCAAGAATCACCGATGTTCCAAAAATTTGAAGGACCAGTTCAAGCAGTCTGAGATCTAAACAAATGAATAAATACACATGAAGTACAACGAAGACGACTTCCAAGCAGCAAGTCCAAAATACAATTAATACACTAGCAACCAATATTCATTAACAATTTTAGGGTATTTGTGAAAAAGTTCTGAAAATACACTGAAATACAAATATGAGTAACCACAAGAGTTTGAAACAAACAAAATTCACCTTGCAAAGAAGGAAAACTAAGAAAAATTGAAGGCAATTAGAAAAACAACAACAAGAAAATTAAAACTGACAAATTTTTAAAAATAAATACATAGTGAGCTCAGAATAAGTACTATATACCAAATTAAATAGGAAATATAACAATGTCACTAGGAGTAATAAAGGAGAATATCAAAAGAAAACATATAAGCAACTAATTAAACAGTACGAGAAGCAGAAATCCTAAAATGAGCCAAACCAGCAGTATTAACTTTCAAACCGAAAGACCAACTCAGCCCATAAAAATAAACTAATTCTTGTTTCAAAACTACACTCGAAATAAATGCAGGTTTAAAAAGCATTCAATTATTATCATTTAAACATTTAAAGCAAGCATACTACAACGCTTTGACGCATCATCATCACTTCAATTAATGGCAAAAAAAAAAAAA